TTAAGTAATAGAGTCACAAGAAAGTTTTCTTTTAGCATAAGTGGGAAAATAAAACGAATCAATTCAGAATTGTAAAAGCTAATACAATAGAGAAATAGATCAGAATCCTTTCATAACTGCAAAAGTACATATGATAGAGAAATAGATCATAGAGAAACAGATCAGAATCCACACATAATTGTAAAAGTAGATATACTAGATAAATAGATCAGGCTCCAAGGTATATTAGAAAACCAGCAGGTATAGAAAGACCTGGGGGCCAAGGAGCTAAAGCTCAACCCTCCCGTAGCAAGCAGGTGGAGTGCGAATTGGTGACATACATGTTCAGAGACCTGGATAGCGAGACCTCTCTGTTCCGCTTAAGCTGTGGGACTCTTAGCGGTTCGCGAATACGGTCAGAGTAGCCCATCAGTATGGCCCATCCAGCCCCTCCTCCGAATAGACAGTACGTTTTAATACTAAATGTAATAAGTACAATCCTGACTATCGGCTTAGTACATAAATACACTTATACGCCAGCATCGCACCAAAATATTGTGAATATTACAGTTTACCTGAAAAGCTGTATAGAAAACCATGACCTAACTTAACCTTCTTAAGTGTAGGAGGACAAGCATGTAAATAACCTTTATTGCTTCTTAATTACAATTAATACTTAACCTATAGCAACATTAATATTACAGTTTAAAATAATTAATAAAAGGAAACTAAAAGCTTTCAATAAATTATAAAATAACTCAGAATATTTTCAAATTTTGTATAAAATCTCTATTGTTTAATATAATTAAAAAACAAATTCCTTATATTTAAAACTTGTGTAAACAGAGCTTATCATTTTTCAAATGTACTAAAATTTTGAGTGTTCTTAACAGAATATTAACAGATAATAAGGAGAATATATAGAGAAGTGAATGTAAAGGCACAATTAAGTGTATTAATATACTAATTATCTTCAAAACTTATCTCTAGTCCCCTCTTGACAGGATTGATTCGGCTATCGGTAAAAAGCCCTTGAAAGGGAGGGGGAACTAGGCTATATAATCCCCTTAACGAGCCTGGCCTGAGGACAGGCCAGGCTCGTTTACATTGCATAAAACCGATCTCTAGTTTTGCAAATATTGCACAAACCACTTTTTTAGGCAAGCAAAAATATTGCAAATACATATTCTAGCCAAAGCGTTAGCTTTGCAAACCTAAATACTCTTGAATCAACAATTGATTGCATACACACTCTTCTCTTCAAGTTTGTATTCATCTAGTTGTGCTTGCGGGGGTTGAGCTCTGACTCTTTGGCCCGCGCCTATCAACTGAAAGTGGTTAGATATATCTACCACATCGCCAGGGAGTAGACTAACAGTATAGCCCATTGGAATATAGGAGTATACTGTCGTTAGATAGAGATATCGATAAACAGATAAAGAATGAGAATTGGTGGAAATAAAGAAAATGGGTAAGATGTAAGAGGTGAACTATATGAATCTAGAAATATCTTACCTGCTAGCAGAGGAACTCTCTGCTTTGCCTCATATAAGCAGACTGGACAAGCAGCTCCCACCGTGATGTGACGTTGTGGTGTGTGAGTGCAGACACACAGACACAACAAGCAGCTCGATCACCCACTGGGCTTTGACACCAATTCGGCGCACGATCCCACGATGAAACCTCTGCTGGCGTTGTTATTGTACAGAATGTGGGTTGTTTGGTGGTGCGGTGGGTAGTTACCTATGTGTAATTACCTGAGTGTAGTTACGGGATGAGAGCTACGCTCGTGGTGTCCCGTCTTCCCAGTTCTCTTTGTCGTATAACGCTTTGAAACTACTGGCGGGGTTTGATCTCTAACTAGACGGGTTCCATCCGTCTATACCACTGTCACCCGTCTGATCTGTCCAGCGTACCTCAGGAGCGAGAGTCAACAAGCAGGTACGCAAGTACTTACGAACCTGTTCATCTTTTCTCAATCTTTGGCGGCTTTGTTTACAATTATTAAACAGTTAATGAGCTCCGAAGCACCAGGAGGCTGTTTATAACAATAACAACAGTTGATTGGCAAGTTTTCATGCTTGTAAACTGTTTAATAAATGTAACCAAAGCCGTCAATGATTGAGTAAAGATGTACAGGTTTCGGAAGTACTTGCGTAACTGCTTATTGAAGCCCAGTTCTCCATCTGCATAGTTCGTTATTCTCTTTCAGCAACGAATTTTTTATGTTTTCTCCTGAGACTACAACGGTATTTGGAGAATTTCTGTTACTTTGTTATAGCGAATTGGCGTTTGGGAAAATAACGTATTAACTACGTTGTGTATTTGATGGGTAACGAGGCTTTGGCTTTCAGCCGTTACCACGCTGGTGATAGTTAGCTTCGTAACGACACAATACACTGTAATTGTTCTTGCTCGTTCCGTGACTGTGACTGTTCTACATGGTTGTTAAACACGCTCTCAGTTAGTCAGCAGTAGCAGCATCTTCTGGTCTGACGTACGTGATCTGCCTCGCGCTCGCAAGCACGCACGCGCGTGTATACACACACACACACGCGCGTGGAGGTGATTAAAAAGGCTGACGGCAACTTTTCAAGACTTGGCACACTTGAGTATATTGTAAGGAAGAGGAAGTGGAAGCCCTTTGACAGACAGACAGACAGAAACAGCACGCCAGCCACACACATATAACCAGCAAATCACTGAGACAGCGAGGAAGACAGACAGACATCATAATCGAGACAGAAGTTATATAGACAGCTCAGTACCCCCGTCCCAAACCAAAACAAAGCCACGTGATTCCCCACGAAAATCAACAATCAACACAATACACAAAAAACACGTCTCTACCACACACACACACACACACACACACACACACACACACACACACACACACACACACACACACACACACACACACACACACACACACACACACACACACACACACACACACACGTTTGTGTGTGTGTGTGTGTTCATTCTTGCCTAGAATTGCAGAACGTCTCTTTGCATACATAATCGTATATGTGTACAAAGTTGTATTTGGCTATACTGTGTGTGTGTGTGTGTGTGTGCGTGTGTGCGTGTGTGTGTGTGTGTCAGTGATGACTGGAAAGGGGGGGAATTGCTCCCTCGTCCATAACAAAACCTCCACCCACAACTCTTCCTCGGCCACAACACCAGTTGAAAATTATGAGAGAAAGTGGAAAGCAGCAGAATGAGTGTGATAACATATTGGTTCTCTGATTTATGTCCACCATATACATTCTCTCTCTCTCTCTCTCTCTCTCTCTCTCTCTCTCTCTCTCTCTCTCTCTCTCTCTCTCTCTCTCTCTCTCTCTCTCTCTCTCTCTCTCTCTCTCTCTCTCTCTCTCTCTTTCCCTCTCTCTCTCTCTCTGACTCCATACACAGTTTCAAGTGTAGATATGATAGAGCCCAATAGGCTCAGGAACCTATACACCTGTTAATTGACAGTTGAAAGGCGGGACCAAGGAGCCAGAGCTCAACCTCTCTCTCTCCATACTTCCTCTCAATATCAGAGTAGTTAATTTATTTGTAGGCGATGAGTCACAATAACGTGGCTGAAGTATGTTGACCAGACCACACACTAGAAGGTGAAGGGACGACGACGTTTCGGTCCGTCCTGGACCATTCTCAAGTCGATTATTTTTTCAATCGACTTGAGAATGGTCCAGGACGGACCGAAACGTCGTCGTCCCTTCACCTTCTAGTGTGTGGTCTGGTCATCAGAGTAGCTAATAAATGCTAATAAAGTGGGACTTCCTTTAGTTAACGTTAAAGTTAACATTTTAACTTTAAACGCTAAAAAACTGGTTTAAACTTTTAAACAGGTGCCTAAAGTTTTAGTCATTTAGGTACATAATAAGTGACTAAAACTAATATTGTTGTTAAAGATTCGCTACTTGGGACAAAAAGTTCTAAGCAGCACGGGCTATGGCGAGCCCGTAGTTAAAACTAACAAAGTCAGTATTTCAAAGAATCTGGTAACTTACCACCACAAAAAATTACAGATTCTTTATGTAACTATTTATGACCAGGTGTAAAGAAGATCAGATATATTAAACACTCAGTCTAGCGTTTTGATTTATGAATAACCAGTAAAGTTTAATAATCTTGTCTATATAATATAACAAAACCAGCACATATATGACTTATTGTTTATAATCACTATTTCCCTTATAAGTATATATGTGACCAACCCGTTCTCGCAAATTTAATAAGTCAATATTGACTTATTAAATATGTGCACAGGTGACATACTTAACATAATAGATACCCGTAAAAAGATTCATAGAAAACACTGACCTTACCTAACCTACTTAGTATGTTAAGATAAGCATCTTATTGCTTCGTAATTACAATTATTACCTAACCTATAATAGGTATAGGTTAAGTAATAATTGTAATTACGAAGCAATAAGATGCTTATCTTAAGATACTAACAAGGTTAGGTAAGGTCGGTGTTTTCTATGAATCTTTTTAAGGGTATCTATTATGTTTAGTATATCACCTATGCACGTAGTTAATAAGTCAATATTGACTTTACGAATTTGCGAGAACGGGTTGATGTGACATACAAGCCATATTTTTTCAAGGCACTAACTTTTTCTCTCAGTTTTAATAAACAATAGAGATTTTATACAAAATTTAACAATATCCTGAGTTACTTTACAATTTATTTAAATATTTTAGTTTTGTTTTATTATTTTTATAAAACTGTAATATCAATATAGGTATAGGTTCAGTACTAATTGTAATATCTTAACATACTAAGAAGGTTAGCTTAGGTTGTGGTTTTCTATTCAGCTTTTCAAGGTAAACTCATATATTCACAATAAATTAGTAAGTCACATATGCACTTATTCATAAGCAAGATATTGACTATAAGCAAGTGCGAGAACGGGTTGTTTGATAAATATTTCGTTACTGATTGTGTAGGGAGTCTTATTTGACCATTATTTCTGTTGAGGTAGACAGTAAGAATAATCTAGATATAGATTTTGCAACTTTATTGGCAGATTTAGGTAGAAAAACATCAAGATAAGTAGGTTAAATGCTATGAAGTATATTGATCTTGATGTCTAAGCTGGTAGTAAACGCCTTGAGCATGGTCTTAACAACCAGTTAGGATATTCGTGTTTCATCGAGATCTGGAAGATCACTAACAAGATCTTCCATGCTGTTGTGTGCCTTGTTTGAGTTGCTGGTTGAACTCTTAACCTGAAATTTGTAAGGACAATATATTAGCTTCAAGTAAATATGGTTAGACGTTGTGAATTTGGGAATCAGATGAATAAAACAACTCAAGAAAGCTACAATTCTTAAGGAGAAACCAGCTTAATGCAAGATTCATCGCTAAAAGTTTACAAGTGAAAGCGTTTTGAAGATCCAGTTTACAGTCACAATATTTATTAAAGTGAATTTTAAAGTGTAATACTTAAGTAACCGACCTCGCATAATAAAGCCTTAAATAGAATAATTTAAATAAAGTTGGATCTCCTAATAAATAACATATAAGTGCACAGGTGGGTGGCAGTTATTATTTACATATAAATATCGACATGTTGGATTATTTACATATAACTGAATATATATATATATATATATATATATATATATATATATATATATATATATATATATATATATATATATATATATATATATATATATATATATATATATATATATATATATATATATATATATATATATATATATATATATATATATATATATATATATATATATATATATATATATATATATCGACTGCATTTTTCTCTAAGAGTACTACAGTTGCCATCTTTTATCTGTCAAGTAGTTCTCCACTCTCGCATCCAATTGAAATGAAAACGAATTTTATTGCTCGTCTTGAGGTCTGGGTTTCTTTCAGTTGCCCCTGGCGAGATTTGTCCCTTTTTCGGGTTTTATGCAATTGTCAGCGTCAGAAATATTTAAGATGCTTCTTTATTTTCCTTGTCATTTCGATGTCATTTGGCCTCTCGTTCAGCAGTGTCGTTATCGCTTTCTCTGGAAGCCGCTGTTTCAAGCATTAATATTTATTGGAGCATTAATTTAATTCCTCACAAATCTTCTCATTTTCTGTTGGGATCTGGAACTCTCTTTGCGGCTTAATTACTTCACTCAGTATACTCATCTATCTTCTCCTATTATTATGTTGCTGTTTTGTTAGTTTCTTAGCTCAGTACCAGATGTTCATTTAATGTATTGAACAAATGACAGAGAGCTATCGTACTTGTGAAAATATGTAATAGCGCACTCAATAACAAATCCACCCTAACAAGAACTTTGATGCACTCAATAACAAAGTCAATCCAACCTTCACGAGAACTTACATTCACCCTGCTTGGCAATCTTCAAATTTAGTTCGGGGTTATTACAAGCCTCGATTTCCAAGAAGCAAGAGTTTGAGTATGTCTTTCCATCTGTCCCACACACCGGGTCGAGTTGCTCAGTACAAGCTATCGGGCATTCGTTGTCACCACCTACAAAGTAGAAGCGTTTGGTTACATGATGAGAAAGTACATTGTTCCTGCCTCTATCAGCAGCAGAATGTTCTTAAAGAATAACAACTTGGTGAGAATTAAGTGAATACTTATTATTATTATATGTAATCTAAATTATTCCGGCTAATAATGCAATAATAAACAGGATTATGGATAAAGATAACAGAAGCCTCCAACATGACCTGGACAAACTGAAAGGAATGGTCCACAAATGGCTACTAGAGTTTAACATGAGTAAGTGTAATGGAATCAATACAGGTATAGGGAGAGAGAGAGGCTGAACGCAAGGTACCATCTGGGAGATGAACTCCTTCAAGAATCAGGTAGAGAGAAAGATCTTGAGGTTGATATCACACCGAACCTGTCCCCAGAAGCCCACATTATGTTGGATTTTATACATATAATTGAATATATATATATATATATATATATATATATATATATATATATATATATATATATATATATATATATATATATATATATATATATTTTTTTTTTTTTTTTTTTTTTTTTTTTTTTTTTTTTTTTTTTAAAGTTTGTGAGGGTACCACCTCTGGTGCCAATGTGGGGACCCATAGCCTCGGAGAAGAAAATAAAAAGTATTCAGAGGAGACCTTGTGGTCTCTCACTGAACACTAATATTATCTTCTCCTACCACCCCCATTCTTTTGTATGTACACATATATATTTACTTTATTTGAACTTTGTTACAAAAAAGGAGTTACATATGGGTTACAAAGATGGTTGTCATAGGTTGTCGAGTTCCTCCAGCTCCTCAGATGGCGGGCAGGAACCCTGGATGCAGTGCGCATTTCCCCTCTGTATCGCCACACTGAGGCGCTGGAAAAGAAAGCTTGCAGCTCTCGGGTCCCTTGTTGTTTCAATGAGCCTAGAACCCAGTTCCTTCAAAAAACTGGTAGCACTTTTACCCCAGGCGCCGAGCGTCTCAGAAGCAATGGGGACAAAATTGTAGTGGTGATCCAGTTCTCTATACTTACGGGATTTGGCTGCTTCCCTGTGGGTGGCAGCGCCACCTGGTTGTGCAACACTGAGGTTAATGTAGGTGTTAGCCAGGGTTGATACGCACGTGTAGTCCCATACCAACTGCTTGCCATTCTTCCAGGGGTTCACTGTGATACCATCTGGGCGACCAATAAGAGCATCAGAGTTACGGGGCGTTAGGTAACGGGGCTCTCTTTCAGCTGGGCATCCAGCTGTAGTGAGGCTCCTCTTGATGATGTCGTTAACTTCACTGTGCCTCGAGTGCCATCCCCCTGTGCTTTGGCAGAGTAGGCCATGGTGACCGTACCTGTCAGCCACCACCTCGCCGCAAATACACCTATATCTGGTGTGGATTGGGGCAGCAAGGCGGAGGGCCACAGCAATTCGGAGGGCGTGTGGTGTGAGACGCGTGCCAGTTGCCGACATTGGGGTTGCTAACAGGAAATCCCCTGCATGTGGTGCTGCTACTGCTGTGAGGCGAGCAATGTCGTGTTGTGTTGTTGCAGCACCCAGGCACTCTGCAGCAACTTGGTCTACAATGGGACCATCCCAGCTGGATTGCTTGTGGGATTTTGGGGATGGTGGTTGAGGTGATTGGCCTGCACGAGAGGCCCACTCTGTGGCACAGCGTGTAAAATTGGGATCATGTACACCTGCCAGCTGATGTAAGTGGGCAGGTAGAATTTCCTTCACAAGGTCGTCGGATGCTGATAAGGAGGACAGGAAGGCTGGAACAGCGATTTGCGTTGCTGTTCGAACTCCGAGGCCCCCAAGTCTTACGGGAAGAGAGGCTTGTTTCCACTGTAGGTCACATATATATACTTCATATACTTCATACATATATATATATATATATATATATATATATATATATATATATATATATATATATATATATATCGACTGCATTTTTCTCTAAGAGTACTACAGTTGCCATCTTTTATCTGTCAAGTAGTTCTCCACTCTCGCATCCAATTGAAATGAAAACGAATTTTATTGCTCGTCTTGAGGTCTGGGTTTCTTTCAGTTGCCCCTGGCGAGATTTGTCCCTTTTTTCGGGTTTTATGCAATTGTCAGCGTCAGAAATATTTAAGATGCTTCTTTATTTTCCTTGTCATTTCGATGTCATTCGGCCTCTCGTTCAGCAGTGTCGTTATCGCTTTCTCTTGCACCCGCCGTTCCAAGCATTAATATTTATTGGAACATAAAATTTAGTTCCTCACAAATCTTCTCATTTTCTGTTGGGATCTGGAACTCTATTTTGCGGCTTAATTACTTCACTCAGTATACTCATCTATCTTCTCCTATTATTATGTTGCTGTTTTGTTAGTTTCTTAGCTCAGTACCAGATGGTTCATTTGATGTATGGAACAAATGACAGAGAGCTATCGTACTTGTGAAAATATGTAATAGCGCACTCAATAACAAATCCACCCTAATGAAAACTTTGATGCACTCAATAACAAAGTCAATTTAACCTTCACGAGGACTTACATTGACCATTCTTAGCAATCTTCAAATTCAGTTCGGGGTTATTACAAGCCTCGATTTCCAAGAAGCAAGAGTTTGAGTATGTCTTTCCGTCTGTCCCACACACCGGGTCGATTTGCAAGGTGCAGGCTATCGGGCATTCGTTGTCATCACCTACAAAGTAGAAGTGTTTGGTTACATGATGAGAAAGTACATTGTTCCTGCCTCTAACAGCAGCAGAATGTTCTTAAAGAATAACAACTTGGTGAGAATTAAGTGAATACTTATTATTATTATATGTAATCTAAATTATTCCGGCTAATAATGCAATAATAATCAGGATTATGGATGATAAAGATAACAGAAGCCTCCAACATGACCTGGACAAACTGAAAGGAATGGTCCACAAATGGCTACTAGAGTTTAACATGAGTAAGTGTAATGGAATCAATACAGGTATAGGGAGAGAGGCTGAACGCAAGGTACCATCTGGGAGATGAACTCCTTCAAGAATCAGGTAGAGAGAAAGATCTTGAGGTTGATATCACATCAAACCTGTCCCCAGAGGCCCACATCAAAAGGATATCATCAGCGGCATATGCTAGACTGGCCAACATAAGAACTGCCTCTAGAAACTTGTGTAAGGAATCATTCAGAACCTTGTATACCACTTATTTCAAACCAATTTGGTATTCGCACAAGGGAACGCAGGTGAAAATTGAGTACCCAAATGAGCCACAGATTTTAGAAAGAACCTTTTTAGTGTCAGAGTAGTTAATAAATGGAATGCATTAGGCAGTGATGTGGTGGAGGCTGACTCCATACAGTTTCAAATGTAGATATGATAGAGCCCAGTAGGCTCAGGAACCTATACACCAGTTGATTGACAGTTAAGAGGCGGGACCAAAGAGCCAGAGCTCAACCCCCGCAAGCACAACTAGGTGAGTACACAAAAAGAAGGGACAAGAATTATTAGGGAGAAAGCAGCAAGCCATTACGACTATATAACACTGGGAATGAATAAAAACAAAACGAATACTTACGACATTTCCCTTCATAATCCACCTTGAGGTTCTTCTCAGGACTGAGACAGGAATGGATCTCCAATATACAGGCGCTGGGGTAAGTCTGACCGTTCGTCCCACACACAGGCTTTGAGTTCAGCTCGCAGCCTTTGATGCACTCATGCCGTTGACAATCTGAGAAGATAAAGAGTTTAGTTTAGAGACGAGATTTGACTGTTATCACAGCCGGCGATTGTGCACCTTTATACTCATTCTGCCTGCGGTAGTGCAAAAAGTAGTACTGAGGGCAAAAAAGGTCTTTATTAAACCTCGGCTGTGATGATTGCATTAACAATTACATCTATTCTGCACACTTTTATAAATATAATGACAGCTAGTTACACAGATTATTACATTTCAATATCCATGTATTTCCAGTTAATAAATAAATGTTTATTTAGGTAAGGTACATACATACAAGAGATTTTACAAAGTTTGTTGGATTAATAGATAGAGCTAGTACATATAATGCCTAAAGCCACTATTACGCAATGCGTTTCGGGCAGCAGTTTCAGTTAATTATTATATATTGATGGTAGGTCTTTACGCTAATATATAACTATTTGGGGATATTACACAATTATAGAATTGCTGAATTATTATTAATCTTCACAGTACACGGGTTATACATTGGTCTCATGTGTCATTCATCTACTGGAAGCGAAACATGGATACAGTGCAAGGATGTCAGTTATTTCATCATTTGTAATAAGATAGTTTGCCATTTCATGCTGTGTGAGTTTAGATTTATCTCTAAATGACTCAATTTTTGCCACAGTCTAAGATGTAAGGCTCGAGTGTGTGTCTTTGTCCAGCTGTCCTCCAAACAAAGATCCAAAAGTGATTCCATCCACCCGCCAAACCCCCTGTTTATGAATGAAAAACGGTTTACACACGACTCACAACTGCTGACGTTCGAACATATCCGGAACAAGTGCTTCACTGACCAATTTTGTTCGAATCACAACGCTATAAATGCTTCACCCACGTACTACAAATACAAATAATCGCCAACAGAGCCTAAACACCTAACCTAACCTAACCTATATATGCACAATATGCTAATATATTATAATATTAATTTATACTTGAGAAAATTCCCGTTTTGAATGAACAGCATGTTAAAATTTATGAATGCGTCTGTGGGGTCGACCGCTGAATGTAATGGACTTGAGTCCAGGACGGGTTGCTATAAATGCTTCACCCACGTACTACAAATACAAATAATCGCCAACAGAACCTGAACACCTAACCTATGCCTATATATGCACAATATGCTAATATAATATTAATTTACATTTGAGAAAATTCCTTTTTTGAATGAACAACATGTAAAAATTTATGAATGCATCTGTGGGGTCGACCGCTGGATGTAATGGACTCGAGTCGAGGACGGGTTGCTTAGTCCACACACTTTACACTTTACTTCATCCAGCTCCCTCTACAAGCCGAACTACTGAAGGTACTTGTAGCCAAGTGGATGTTTGCTGTTTTAGGTTCAACTACTCAGAATAAAAGTCTAAGCAAAGGCGTGAACTTGATCATGTTCCTGTAGGCCATTGTGAGAGGGAATCTACAATATCTATTTGTATTGAAACTCCTTATTAAATATGCATATATATCTGTGTCTGGCTTCTGAGACAAGCAAGTTATTACTTGACTTGTAGACAATTTAATGCTTGTAGTTAGGAAAATGGAGTTTGAAATAATTACAGCGTCAACTATAGTATTCTCGTCAATTTCGAGTGCTCTTAGTATAGCTACCAATTTCAACTTGCAAGGTGGATTCCCAATTACAGACTCTTATATTCTTTTCAACTATGCTTGAGAATGCCCCTTGTTCCTGTTTCTAGCAGGGGGCACAATGTTCTTAAAAACAAAATAACTTTGTCCGAATTCAATGAATACTTCAGTTATTATTTAATGCCCGAGAAATAAAGTTATGGGGGGACTAAAGAATAATCGAACTATTTAAGTCGGGTAAAGTTGATAAGTTTTTTGGGTTCAAAATGTACAAAATATGAAGTGGTACGTGTTGCATGTATTTGTCAATTCGTAAAGAAACTAATAATACCGTACATGCCACAGGAACAAGAACAGAACAAGAACATAACAGGAAAATAACAACTCACCAGCCAAAGGCACCAGCAAGAAGGCGATTAAGGCGAATGACTTCATCGTTGTAAGAAATCTTCTCAAGGTGGCAGAACTCTTCCTTGTGGGGCAGAAAGATTGGATTAATGTGGTTGCTACCACCACCACCACTACCACCACTTCTTAAGTTGACGTTCTAGCGAGTTGTGAAAATCCAATATCAAAGTCTTGACAATGAGGCTTTTTAAAGACCAAATCATTATAAAATCAGAACCCAGACGTCGCCAAAATGTTGATAAGTTCTCACCTGTGTTTCCTCCTGCTGTGACGGCGGTACACTGACGCTGGCTGACCCGTCTCAAGCCTTTTATACCCGGTCTGGGTTGACAGTCATTGTTTACCGAGATTGGTAATTTAATTTTGTACCGAGAGGCGAGTTTATCGGGCAGCGTCACACATCCTGTGAGTGGACACACCGCCATAGTATCATGTACAACACTCCCCGATAGGAAGAAAACCCGCTGGGTTGTTCATCCTGTCACTTGTACCCAGACACAGCTGGGATTTTCCTGGGTACTAGTGAGAGAATGAACAATCCTGTCACCTGTGTTTCGTACTTGGGTTAAGACCTAACGATTCCTGTGAGGTTATGTTTCTCTGTCTCGTAAATTAGGGACATTTGTAAAAGGAAATTATAGATTTGCTTTTAATTGTTTCACACTTCAACTAGATTTTCACCTAAGGATCAGAATCTGAGATAAATTTTCCTAGAGCGAGGGAGGCGGTAGAAATTTTCCTAGAGTGAGGGAGGTGAGATAGTTTTTCCTTGTTCGATTCCATTCCCCGCTGCCAGCCGTATGTGTGCTTACCTAGATATGCTTAGAAGATCAAGCGCTAGCTCCTAAGCCCCGATCTTCGAGTTATTTTTAGTTTAATGCATTGCCTCAGGTTTGGCTTCTCGTGTCGTATCTACTCTGAAAATATTGAATAAACCGCGACAAATGTTGTTTATTCGATTTACTCAATTAATGTTATAATGTTCTTTGTAATGCTGTTCCTCCTTTTGATCACAGTTGAACTCCCTTGAAATACCTTCTATGACGTTAACATGTCTCCTCTCTTCATTGTGTTCCTCTTCTTTCAAAACACTGATGTATGTTAGGAGCAAGATGGGACCTAATACTGAGCCCTGCGGCACCTCTCTCTCTCTCTCTCTCTCTCTCTCTCTCTCTCTCTCTCTCTCTCTCTCTCTCTCTCTCTCTCTCTCTCTCTCTCTCTCTCTCTCTCTCTCTCTCTCTCTCTCTCTCTCTCTCTCTCTCTCTCTCTCTCTCTCTCTCTCTCTCTCTCTCTCTCTCTCTCTCTCTCTCTCTCTCTCTCTCTCTCTCTTACACCAGCCTGAGTCTCCAGTTTAAATAGGAGGCTTTTGTGAGGGACTGTGTCTATAGCATTCTGGTAGTCAAGGAAGATGCAGTGTGAGTAATTCACCCCTATATCCATGCTCCATGGAAGGTTTAAAGTCTCAGGGTGATACCAGTTAGGTACTCCTGAGATTCTTCCTTATTGTGAACATCCATAGCCTGGTTGGGTGGACAATTGTCCTGTACTTTTGAGCCCCCCAGTTCGAATCTCCAATGATCCAAGTGAATAAAATAAAAAATTGTAAGAAAATTTTAAAAATTAGTGTTGTACATAATAGAATAACAGATCCAGACGGGAAAAGTATCGAACATAGAACAGAAAGACATAAAAATGTACACAAAATAGATAGATGAACGAGGGCTAAGAATTTAAGAGAGAGAGGGAAAAAGCATTATAGGAATGTCCAATTCCAATTCCTGTTCCAATTCGGAATTGGACCTGTTCCAGGTCCAATTCCTCCATGGCCACATCAGCGGGAAAATGACTGTACTCACCTAATTGTACTCACCTAATTGTGCTTGCGGGGGTTGAGCTTTGGCTCTTTGGTCCCGCCTCTCAACTGTCAATCAACTGGTGTACAGGTTCCTGAGCCTACTGGGCTCTGTCATATCTACATTTGAAACTGTGTATGGAGTCAGCCTCCACCACATCACTTCCTAGTGCATTCCATTTATTAACTACTCTGACACTGAAAAAATTCTTTCTAACGTCTCTGTGGCTCATCTGGGTACTAAGTTTCCACCTGTGTCCCCTTGTTCGTGTCCCACTGTGAACGACTAGGCGAACCGACAACAGAACAGAGAGGTGTAGTGTCCCAGTGAGAATAACATGGTAAAAGGCAAAGAACTTAACAAATCATTTCTCGTATTAGATTCATTCCAATGCCATTGTTGCATTGAAATGTATATCCCTTCAGGTCCAGGTTGTTGACATATAACAAACAGGATGAGCTTAGGGACTTTCCCCTCTGGAATCTCCAGTTTTCAGAAGACTTCTCCACTCACTTCTAGCTTCACCCACTGTTATCATTTTTCATTTTAGTTGTTTCTAAAATGAACTTGCAGTAAAATGCAAATTTTCATTTGTAAATTTAACGTTTACTAAAATATATAGTTACAAAAACTGTTCTTCCAGACATTCTCATTGTCAAGCCATAGACTCGATAATGCACTCTCCTGGGGGCCTCCCATTGACCCGCAAGCAATCAAGGAGGTCCTGGATGCAAAAATCAATGACCTAAGGAGAATGCTGGACAGGATTGACAAGATTGATGCCCACGATGCTCTATTCCTCCTCACAAGATGCTTATCTCTCCCTAAGTTGACTTACTTTGAGATGTTCTCCATCCTACAGCAGCCCCAAATTAAAGGTGTATGACACTTTTCTGAGGTCCATGCTGGTGAAAGTTCTGAACCTTCCATGGTTCTCAATGGGAGAAAGCAACTCTCCCTGTAAGACTCGGCGCCCTTGGTGTCCGCACAGCCTCCCAGATTGCTCTACCAGCCTTCCTTTCCTCCTACCATGCATCGCACGACCTCGTAAGAGATATCCTACCAGAACTCCTGAGTAATTTAGGAGGAATACATGATCCTGCTTTCACTGAATGTTCAATTCAGTGAGATGCTCTTGCAGCCCCAGCACCCATTATAGATCCAATAAAGAAACATGAACAGTCCGGCTGGGACCACCCACTAGTGGAAAAAATAGCTGATGCCATGCTCAGCGCCGCAACATCAGACAAGGAGAATGCCCGCCTCAGAGCAGTGAGTGCCCCCCATGCAGGTGACTTACTTCTGGCAGTTGTTGTTGTTAAAGATTCGCTACTTGGAACAAGCAGTTTCATGTAGCACGGGCTATGGTGAGCCCGTAGGTACTGACTTCTGGCAGACTAATGGAATCTTTATATATCAAGGAGCTGCGGCCTTTGCTAAATATTAACGGCAGTTGCTCAATTTTATATTATATATATATATATATATATATATATATATATATATATATATATATATATATATATATATATATATATATATATATATATATATATATATATGTCGTACCTAGTAGCCAGAACGCACTTCTCAGCCTACTATGCAAGGCCCGATTTGCCTAATAATCCAAGTTTTCATGAATTAATATATTTTCTCTAATTTTTTTCTTATGAAATGATAAAGCTACCCATTTCATTATGTATGAGGTCAATTTTTTTTTATTGGAGTTAAAATTAACGTAGATATATGACCGAACCTAACCAACCCTACCTAACCTAACCTAACCTATCTTTAAAGGTTAGGTTAGGTTAGGTAGCCGAAAAAGTTAGGTTAGGTTAGGTTAGGTAGGTTAGGTAGTCGAAAAACAATTAATTCATGAAAACTTGGCTTATTAGGCAAATCGGGCCTTGCATAGTAGGCTGAGAAGTGCGTTCTGGCTATTAGGTACGACATATATATATATATATATATATATATATATATATATATATATATATATATATATATATATATATATATATATATATATATTAGTATATTAGTATATTTTGGTAGCAGTCTTTCCTGTAGACATATATTATTAAATATGACCGAAAAAGTAAGATTAATAATTCTAACACGAATTTTCTCAATCTTTCGTACATTACGCTTCACTGTTGGAGGTAAATCAAAAATCACTTCTCCAAAATTCATTTTTATTTCTAGTCTGACGCGACACGGGCGCGTTTCGTAAAACTTATTACATTTTCAAAGACTTCACAAATACACAACTGATTAGAACGTATCTCTGATTTTATATCTACATTTGAGTGAGGTGGGAAGGGTGATGTGGCATTAACACAAGACAGAACAGGAGGGGATATTAATAGGGTATTAAAAGTATCAACACAAGACAGAACAGAAACAATGGGTATTGAATAGAAGTGTTTGTAGAAAGCCTATTGGTCCATATTTCTTGATGCTTCTATATTGGAGCGGAGTCTTGAGGTGGGTAGAATATAGTTGTGCAATAATTGGCTGTTGATTGCTGGTGTTGACTTCTTGATGTGTAATGCCTCGCAAACGTCAAGCCGCCTGCTATCGCTGTATCTATCGATGATTTCTGTGTTGTTTACTAGGATTTCTCTGGCGATGGTTTGGTTATGGGAAGAGATTATATGTTCCTTAATGGAGCCCTGTTGCTTATGCATCGTTAAACGCCTAGAAAGAGATGTTGTTGTCTTGCCTATATACTGGGTTTTTTGGAGCTTACAGTCCCCAAGTGGGCATTTGAAGGCATAGACGACATTAGTTGCCTCTGGGGGTATAGGTGTTGTGTTAGTTGCCTCTGAAGAGACAACTAACACAACACCTATACCCCCTATTAGACTATTTTACAGGAACTTCTTTTCCACAGCTCATAAAACGGAGGAAAGGGTCCTGAAAGATATTGTTAATAGAAACGTTATCCCTACAGACAAAAATCAGAGGATACAACTGACGATTTACTATAAAACCAGAAAAACGGCCAGCCTACTCATGAGAAACTCTCCAGACACAAAACAGAACGCTTTAAAGAGACTAATGTCGTCTATGCCTTCAAATGCCCACTTGGGGACTGTAAGCTCCAAAAAAACCAGTATATAGGCAAGACAACAACATCTCTTTCTAGGCGTTTAACGATGCATAAGCAACAGGGCTCCATTAAGGAACATATAATCTCTTCCCATAACCAAACCATCGCCAGAGAAATCCTAGTAAACAACACAGAAATCATCGATAGATACAGCGATAGCAGGCGGCTTGACGTTTGCGAGGCACTACACATCAAGAAGTCAACACCAGCAATCAACAGCCAATTATTGCACAACTATATTCTACCCACCTCAAGACTCCGCTCCAATATAGAAGCATCAGGAAATATGGACCAATAGGCTTTCTACAAACACTTCTATTCAATACCCATTGTTTCTGTTCTGTCTTGTGTTGATACTTTTAATACCCTATTAATATCCCCTCCTGTTCTGTCTTGTGTTAATGCCACATC